ATTTTTCTATCCCCATTTTGGAATAAGTTGGAATCGACTTAAAGCACTCATTCTACAAAATTATTTGTGACAACAGCAATATCGGACACTCCAAATCACACCACTGCCATCAGCACATGATTAGTGGATGCTAGTATCGATCTTCACCGAAAACTCAAATGGGAGAGTTTCACAGACTTCCACACGTGCTCTCCAGAATGTCAAAGTCAACGGGCACTGCAGGCCCAGAGAAGTGTTAGCTGATGCGTTTACCCCAAAGAGCCTGTGCAGTGCGGGATGAAGAGGAAACAGCTCCTGCTTGGGCTCCCACGTACAGACACTCAGATGTTCTCTTAACTTCCAGGATGAATACAGACTGTAGCTGACACACCATAACTGTGCGTCACAGGAATCTATCAAGGACTACGCTTGCTCATAGCTCTCTCAAGGCTGTACCCTTCGTGGCATTCACCTGTCCAGGTGCTCCCTGATTTGCAGGGTGTTCTGCAAACAGCTTCCACTGTTTTCCTGTGGTTCTGGTAGGGAGAGCTAACTCCTTCTAGAAACATACTGAACTCCAGAAATTTAAGTGTGTCTGATGTTTCTGATCTGTGTACTTGAGTGTTACCTCTCAACAATATTATTTCCAAAGCTCTCTTTTGACACAACAGCTCTGGATTTGTAAGTACTCAATGATATTCTCAGAAGGTTCTATCCAAGAGTTCACGGGACATCCAAAGCAAGTTTGCAAGTCCTAGCTGAACCCCCAGGAAGAAACAGGCATTTTGGAAAGAGAAGGCCTCAAGGCCAGTAGCTAAACATACTACTCCACAGTCAAGGTCATGTGATTTACCGTGGCAGCTGTTTTCAGGTGAGACCCCAGGAAAGCAGATGCCTCTCCACAGTGCAGGTGGGCCCAGCCAAGGAGCTGAAGGCCACAACAACCACAGCAATTCGAGTCAATCCTACAAACACAACCAGCAGGGACGGAAGTGCTGAGAGCCTCCGAAGGGAGGTGACAGTGCTTCTGGTCGGGGGCAGCCTCAGGAAATGCGCAAACCCGAGGAGGGCCTGGATGTCCCCTAGGCTGAGAGGCAGGTGGGAGCGAGCCCTGAACAGAAGGGCACCTGCTGAGCCGCTCCCCAGGCTGGGAAAACAGCAGCTTCGGGGTAGCACCGAGCAGAAGTCAGAGCCAGCCTACACCCACGTTCCAGGGAGCCTGCACATCAGCCCTTAGCAATGGGATGTCCAAGCACCTCTTCTCCTGGCCCTGGCCACTCAGAAGCCACCTGAACAAGTGCAGCAAAATTCAACCAGGGGTCCTCCACCCCCAGTGTGGAAGTCACGCAGCACCGACTTACGAAGACTTCTCCGCTTGCTTCCTTTGTGAAGCACACATACCACACTGGCCCACACAGACAACGCCAAGGACAAGCAGAACCTGCTCTGGAGACCCCAAGCACACCCCTGGCTCCAAGATTTGGAGCACCCTATGTGTCATTTTTCTCTCAGTAGGACACCGTGACCGCATGAAGACGACACGAGATAACCCACAGAAAGAACGCGGCACAGGAACAGATGAGCAAGCATCCATCACTGGTGGGAGCACGACGCTGCAACAACGTGCGACAGGAACCGCACTCTAGGTCCTGGGACAGTTCCTGAATGGGTGCCGCACGGCCGACGGGAAAAGACACAGCATCCTGAGTCCATCCGCAGGTGCTTGTCCTGGGAGCAAACAGGGTGCGTCACCATCACTCCAACATCAGCCCTCAGGAAATGGGCAGGAGGCTCAGACTTCCAATGGACTCCCTAATTCTAGTCAAGGAGTCACAAGCCTAGAAACGTTAATAAAAACAATGAGATCCTGCACGGAGTTTTTCTCGAGCTCTTAACTACCAAGAACAGACAACCTGAGACTTAAAATGACTAAAGGACATCACTGCCATCAAAAAGTTCACAGAGGCACAGACCCCAGCTTTGTCGATTTTCCAAAACATAATTTTAACATTAAGCCTGTACAGCCCAAAACTGTATTGCACAGCTAGCCAAAGCACAAAGAGATGCAGCTGAGAGATGACACAGAAAAAATTTGAGACATAAACAGCAAAAACAATTTTAAATCAAATCATGCTTTGACCTAGTTTGGAAAAGTCTTTCAGCAAAGCTGTGAGCAGACAGACACGGCAGTGTGCACACAACAGCTTCCTCAAAGGCAGGGCTGCGGACCCTCTGTCCTGCCGAGGCCATTTGGATATGCGGAACATCAAGCGTGGGCCCTGTACAATATGTACTGAATCCCGAGTCCCCCTGCAGAGGCCCCGGCAGGGCCAGACCACACGATTCTGTGGGCCCTCTGCAGCCCCCAGACAGACACTGCCCACCCCTGCAAAAGGGGCCCAGCTGCTCTGACTCGGAGTCACAAACACAAGGGCTGGCGAGCCGGCACTCCCCGACGGAAGACCGCGATGTCAGCCGCTGGCGACCCTTGGTGCCGGCACAGCTCCTAATGAATCCTCAGCGTCTCAACAGAACTGGCGGCTGTGTTCACAGAGCACGCCTGCCCTTGCTGCTAACGTGCCCATTTTCCTACCCAGACGGACGGAGACTCTCACAGACGCATTTTACTGTGGGGTCTCTCAGCCGTCCAGGAAGTTCTCCGATTTGAAGATGCCAAACCGTCACAGATGACACTACAACTACTTTCTGCTCTTTCAGCATCTGTCCTGGGACTGTTTCATGTGCTATGTAAAAAGCTACATATCCTCCTTGACTTATACAGGATGGGGTTACATGCCAATAAACCCATCGTAAGCTGATAATAGAAAATCTACTGAATATACCTAACCTATTAAACATCACAGCTTAGCCTAGCCTACTCTATATGTGCTCAGAACACTAACATTAGCATACCATTAAGCAAAATCATCTAACACAAACCTTATTAAAAAGTATTGAATATGTACTGTAATATAGTGATATTCCATTGAAAATGGAAAAACAGAACATCCTATGGTTACATCTCCACACCATTATCAAAAGATCCAGTTTCTTCTTGTCAGTGGGAGGCTGGGTGTGCGTGCATTGAATCTGTCAGCCTATTCCATTTCGATATTTCGGTTTGGTCACGATCAGACAGGCATTCGTTATCCAAATTTTCAACTGAGAAACTTTCAAATATTTCCTCTTAAGAGTTTTCACTCAATGCCGGTACCATGGCAGAGTGAGTAAAGCAGCGCCAGCATCCCATATGGGCCCTGGTTCAAGACCCAGTTGCTCCACTTCTGATTCAGCTCCCTGCTAATGGAAAGACAATGGGAGATGGTCCAAGCGCTTGAGCCACCGCCACCCATGAGGGGGACTTGTATAGAGTTCCTAGCTTCTGGCTTTGGCATGGTCCAGCTCCTGCTATTGTGGCTGTCTGGGGAGTGAACCAGCATATGGAAGGTATCTCTTTCTCTCTCCCTCCATTACTCAGATGTTCAAATATGTAAGTAAAACTTTTTTATTTTAAATTCATAATCTATTGCAGTTTATTTAGATGGATGGTGTGAAAAGGTAATCCGACATTTTAAATGGCCAATTGTTCTAAGTACTAACTAAATCACAGACTTTGACTTTTTTTTTTTTTTTTTTTGCATTTTCATCACCAATTTTAGAAGTCAGTCTGGGTGCCAGTGCTGTGGCGTAGCAGTAAAGCTGCTGCCTTCAGTGCCAACATCCCAAATGGGTGCAGGTTCAAGTCCCGGCTGCTCCACTTCCCATCCAGTTCTCTGCTGTGTCCTAAGAAAGCAGTAGAGGATGGCCCAAGTCCTTCGACCCCTGCACCCACATGGGAGACTGGGCACAGTCTTCAGATCAGCGCAGCTCCAGCTGTTGCGGCCCATCGGGAAGTGAACCAGCGGATGGAAGACCCCTCTCTCTCTCTGCCTCTCCTTCTCTCTCTGTGTAACTCTTTCAAATAAATAAATAAATCATTAAGAAAAAAAAAAAAGTCCATAGGAATGTATGCAGAACCATACAGCTTTATAGTTAGAAACTTCCTCCTCTGTCTCTTATTTCCACTCTCATTTTTTACTAAGGTCTATTTTCAATTAACTTCATATACATATGATTAACTCTATGTTAAGCAAAGAGTTCAACAAATAGTATGAAGAAAAAAATGACAAAAAAAAAAAAAAAACAAATAAAATGAAACTTCCTCGACAGTCAAGACAGGGCAGCTCGAGTCATCCCTTCTCAAAGGGTCATTTCACTTCTGCAGATGCCTTTTAGGTGCTCCCTTAGTTATCACAGGTCAGGGAGAGCATACGGCATTTGTCCCTTTGGGACTGGCTTATTTCACTAAGTATGATGTTTTCCAGATTCATCCATTTGTTGCAAATGACTGAATTTCATTTTTTTCCATTATGTAGTATTCCATAGTGTACATATCCCATACCTTCTTTATCTAGTCTTCAGTTGATGGGCATTTAAATTGACCCATGTCTTAGCTATTGTGCATTGAGCTGCAACAAACATGGAGGTGCAGATAGCTCTTTTATTTCCTTATTTTTACCTACTCTCTATTCCCATGTGGTCAGGACATGTCTACAGCCTCCACTGCATTCAACACGGAGGCATCCGCCTGGCAGCTTGAGTGGGAGGACCTGCCCTTCACAGAGACAGCCAACTCATTTGGCTTATGACAATGACCATGGGGGACTGGGCTCTCCCCCGCCTACATCAAGTTTGTGGTGTTCGTTTTATGTCTGTGCCACTGTGTAGCCGCTCCGCCCGAGCTACTCACAGCTCGCGGACTCTGCACACTCAGGAGCTCACGCTCCAGTCTGCCTTCTGCATGTCTTTCACAGAACACACTCCCCAAGAGGCAGGGTGTCCTAAGACCACTATGGATCTCAGTGTTAGCTATTATGAGCCAGGGAAGGGCGGGGCCAGGAAGTTCCTGCTGAATTAGTAAGAGGTTAGTTCCACTGATCTGTCCAACATCTCTGCAGCCTGCAGAAACACAAAGCTCTTACCGTTTCTTTGGGAATCTGCGTCTGCCTTGGCTCTGCATTCTAGAAGAATCGAAGAAAAACGTGAATACGGACTGAAGGAAGCCATCTTCCACACACAGGGGCACAAAGCGTCAGACTGAAGGGGACACTGCTGGCTCCCGAAACCCACAAACTCCGTAGGGGCTGAGTGCACTGGGGCTGGCGCACAGCTCTGCCAGGCGCATGAGCTCTGGGTGGGACCTCAGAACGTCCACCAGACGAGCACCTCCTCCGGCTCAGCCGCCGTCCACGATGAGTTCACGCTGAAGGAAAGCAAATCTCACCAAACTGCTTTCCTCTCCTCACAGCACCGCTCCGAATGCTCATTTTTCCATTCCCCCATTCACATCCAAGTCTTACTGTACAGGACTCTAACAGATCTACGGATAGTGGGACAGACAAGGACAGCTGGACCCACTGTCCAGCCCACAAGCCTTCCACTCCAAAACACTACACCACCAGCTAGAACTGCTTTGGTTACACAGGTACTTACAAGACAGATTTACAAAAAAAGACACCTTTTGATAAAAGCAGTAAGATGAGGTGCTCAGAGTTTAAACACAGACACCCCACAGGGGAAAAGAGCTACGCTGACTGGATTCAGTGGCCATTGAGTGCGTCCCTGTATGTCTGCACAGTCTGATTCTGTGACATCTTGAAAAGCGGCTGCAACGCGCATGAAAGACTGACGGCCTACTGGCTCACTCCTTAATGAAAAGCTTACAAGTAATAAATTAAATAACCAAAGGGGGTGGGGGGACAGGCGGCAGCAGAAGGGAAAAACAGAAGCGTGGGAGATCAAAATTGGACAAGGGACTCTGACAAACCTGAAGCCGTGATGTTGGCAGGGGCCCTGCAGGCGGCTGCTCCAGAGAACAGTGTGCAGGCCCTGGCAAGCGAGTAATGGGAAGGAGGAAGGGAAGCAGCCCCGAAGGGGCTGGAGACACCCCCCCCCACCCCCACCCCGCCTTTCTCCACCACGCTCATTTACAATTTAATGGAGACATCTCCAGATTTAGGATCAGGTGGCATTTTAAGCACAAAATTGGATTTAACAGTGGGGGGAAGATGGAAAACCCAATTTAAATTGAGAAATAATGCATTAAACATTTTTTAGACATAAAGGAGTTTTCATAATTTATGCAAAATCTACGTAAAACAGGCGTTCACTTTTCAACCGCGTCCCAATCTGACATTTTCATGAAGTCACATTGAGTTCTGAGACCTCTCTGTGACCAAGCGATAGGATGCACATGACTGAAATGTCTCATCCCTATAAGAAATGTTTATATAAACAGATAGGATTTAGGGAAGAGAATAAAAATGGTTTTTGTTTACAGTCAAAGGAAACGTTTTATCAACGGTGACACAACCAAGTTATAACGGAAGACAATTAGGAGCGATTTGGGAGCTACATTCCCAAAACCCTGCCACTCTCATCACCACCAATTACTACTTGGAGAAGAGAACAAGCCAGCCAAGGCCTTACAGTGACCCAAGTAGAATTTGTCCAGAAATATCTCGAATTGTCGCCGCTACTTGAAATAAAACAACTTTCTCACCATATCACAAGCCCAAGGTAAGTCATCCAATTAGGTCAATTTTCTCTATAAATGAAACCTAGCACTTTTTAGAGAAGATTCAGAACTGGGTAAACTTAATATGCACAGTCATTCACACCAGTACCGTGTAAAGGCTCCTGTCTGATACCTAGCAATAGTGTGTGTGTATAAAAGTGAATCAGGCTGCAAACAAATGCCTCTTCATTTCATGTACGTCACTCCAACCAACACCCTCTCCACCGGTGCCGCACAGTCACAGGGCTGACTGTGCTGCAGTCTTTTTCTGTGTAGTCCCAGTCATCTCTGTAAAGGCCCCTTTCCTGTGACAGCAAGCGGGCCTCTTTATCTGGCTCAGCTACAGGGACTAGGAGCGTCTGCAACAGGAAAATGTGTCATATGTAGGGAGAGGATGGCCAGCTTCCAACGACAGCCTTTGGAGTGACAGCTACGAGATAATTGACGTCTCTGTAGTCAACCAGTCCATCTGAGTGTACAGTGACAAACACCTGATGTCCTCCAAGATGCCCCCAGTCTGATTTCTAAACACCTGACGTTCATCACCAAAGCACCCCTCGCCAACCCAGGGGCACATTGCCCGCCTGAAGGGAGCCGTGCCTCGGAAAAGGCCTCCAGGAGCACTTGCAAGGGGCAGCTGCCCAGACCCCGGGCTCCTGCACTCAGAAAGCCTCCCCCTGCCCCACATGTACACACCAGCTCCCTGGGGTGGAAGGCGTCCTCCTGGCGGAAGACCAGGAGGCTCACGGTCCCCTCCATCTTGGTGCTTCTCAGCAGGGACACCACCTCCTCCTGGGACTTGCCCGCGATGTCTACTCCGTTCACCTGAAACAGACAGAGTGAGCTCAGCTGCGGTCATGGGCAGACAGACATCAGGAGGGAAGGCACACGTGCAGGACAGACCCCTGACCCCTGACCCCTGACTGACAGAGCATGAGGCTGTATGTGCTAACATTCACCAGGACCTGCTTACCGCTTAAGCTTCTGAGGCTAACAAAGGAGCTGGGACACAGATCCACGAGGACGGAGGAAGCGGTCACTGTATTGCACTGTCCATCCATCAACCACCAGCACACTGACAAGCCACAAGGCATGAACACACACATTCTAGATGTCCGAGTTAACACGAAGCGTACTGACATGGCCCTGAGAAACTCCAGTGGCCATGGGGACCTCAGGTTGCCTGATGTGAAAATAAATGGTGTAGTAAAAATACACCAAAAATGTTCTGCTACAGATGCTCTGGCTTTTGATGAAACTTAACAAAGAAAACATTCTATCCCTAAAAGGTAGACACTGAAAGAGATGCAGCAACTCACCCTTTTTTTCCTTCCCAATGATATAAGGGAATTCTAGCAAGAAACAGGGCCTTGAAACAACTGAGGCCTAGGGAATCCCTGTACTTTTGTTTCACAGGAAGGATAATTTCAAACACAATTTATTGAACAGAAATGAGAGGATGTGTTTCTTTTTAAAAGCTTTCTATATTACTTTCTTTGGATGAAAACAGTATTTCGTGCAAGGCAAATAACTATATAACTTTAATTACAACACCAAGGGGGCAGGGAGCTGTGGTACAGTGGGTTAAGTCTCCACTTGTGACACTGGCATCCCATAGTGGAGCGCTGGTTTGGTACGTAAATTCCTTTGAAAAATTACCTGGTCAAAATTTCCCATTAGGTAAAATGTTTCAGAAATTTGTGCTTTCTGGTAAAATAATCCTATGTAGCTTAACATTTTATTATGAAAGGATGGCAGCAAACAGATAACAACAATTCAAAGAAACAAATTCTACACAATAAAAACAAAAATTAGCCACTGGATACCCTTTCCTTTCTCAAACTGCATAGGCTCAGATACTTAGTAAAACTGTCCACAGAATTGTTGAAACAGTACAGGTTCATGAAGATTGGGTTCAAAACATAAAAACAAGGTTTCAGGTTTAAGACAGATCTGACAGCCACAGCTCTGAAAAGATACAGGCTGCAGGTCGTTCCCGATGCTCAGAAAGCAAACAACTGTCAGAGAGAAGTGCTGAGAGTACGAACAAGCAATGCTGCAGTGGCACAGGGGAAAAGGCAGGGATGCGATGTGCGGACCAGGGTCCGACACGCGGAGCTGGGCAGTACAGAGGAGCACTACACCACTGCACATTTCACAGTCCTTAAAGCTCAAAGCACAGACAAGGGCTGGCGCTTGGAGTGGCGGCTTAGACAGCACTAGGGACGCCTGCGTCCCATAACCGAGTGCCTGGGTTCAAGTCCAGGCTGCTTGCTGACTCCGACTTCTGCTGATGTGCACCGTGGGGCAAAGTTCTGGTACTTGGATCCTGGTCATCCACACGGGAGACCTGAATTGAGATCCTGGCTCTTTGCCCCAGCCTGGCCCAGCCCTAGCTGTTGTGGGCATTTGGGGAGCGAACCAGTTGATGGAATATCGATCTCTTTCTCTGTCTCTACCTTCCAAATAAATAAAAACATGAATAAATAATCTTAAAGTACAAAAGACTGATGTGGTAAAAGCTGACCTCGTCAGCTGGTATTTAATGCTACTTAATTACTTGGGAACACAATACCTGCTAATAGGAATACCGACACGTGGCTAACGAAGTATATTTTCCCTTAGCCCTTTTCCTGTTTCTCTTGTATGAACAACTCCCCACACAAGTAGAAACTACATTTCTAAAATTGGGTTGATAATCTCAGACGGCAGGAACACCAAGGAACCGAAACACCAGAGTTCTAGAAAGGAGATCGGTTTTTCATTTGTTCCCGTGACACTGAACTTTTATGTCTCAGTTCATTCTCCATGCTGCCATTGAAAAATTCCCCTCTTCCTCTCATCAAGACTTGCTGTATCCTTTGCTTTCAATGATGTCCTCTCTGATGACAAGGGAGACAGCGTATGGCCCGATGTGAACGTAAAACATCTAGAAACACAACTACACAGACGCTGGACTCACATGCGTGTGTGGACTATATGCAACTGATCTCACAGACCCAATGTGTGAGTCGGGAGAACTCCAGACACAAACCCAGTGAATAGGTAGTCTGCCACTTGATAAAACCAGAACATGAAACAGAAAGACACTGTTCTGTGATGCATCCTTTGGCTGCGATGTGTAACTTAACGTTGTATTCTATGAAAAAGGATCCAAGATGGACTCTTGACCATGGAACTCGTCAAGAGCCAGGGGATGGGCACTGGCATTGTAGGCTAAGCTGCCTGCAACACCAACATCCCATATGAGCACCAGTTCCAGTCCCAGCAGTTCTACTTCCTATCCAGCTGCCTGCTAATGACCTGGGAAAGCAGCAGAAGATGGCCCAAGTGCACGGACCCCTGCCACTCAGGTGGAAGACCAGGAAAGAGTTCTTGGCTTTGGCCTGGCCCAGCCCTGGTTGGTGTGGCCATTTGGAGAGTGAACCAGCAGATGAAAGATCTCTCTGTCTGTCCCTTTCTCTGTAACTCTGCCTTTCAAATAAGTAGATGTATCTGACAAAGAGAAAGAGGGGGCAGCAGGCACAAGCCCAGCTCACCTCCACCAGCCGGTCTCCGGCCTTGAGCCGGCCGTCCTGGATGGCCGCGCCGCGAGGGAGGATGTTCTTCACGTAGATGGGGGCAGAGCCACCTATCGTCACGTCGCGGGAAGTGATGCTGAACCCCAAGCCCTCTGAACCTACACAGGGAAGAGGAAAAAAGGGAATGAGATGAGCCGGATGCAGGTGTCCTGCAGAGCATCCAACACTGCCTCTGCACAGATGGGCCATCGCCTAACCTGCTAACAGCTTCCACTGCCTCTCATGCTTCAAAATCCAGAGGACATTCCTCAAAATAGGCTGAATAATGGAAGCCATGGAATGGCTAAAGCCATCAGAAGTCATTAAAGAAGAAACTGCAGTCTTCACAAAGATGGTAAAAATGAACACAAATATGTCTCTGAAACACTTCTAAGAAATCTAACTTCACCTCCATACCTGGAGAAAAATAAGCTGTTTTTCTTTTGAGAAGATTTATTTATTTATTTGAAAGCCAGAGCTACTCAGAGAGAGGAGAGGCAGAGAGAGAGAGAGGTCTTCCATCCAATGGTTCACTCCCCAATTGGACACAACAGCCGGATCTGCACCGACCTTCGGTGCAGGAGCCAGGAGCCAGGAGCCAGGAGCCAGGAGCCAGAAGCCTCTTCTGGGTTTCCCACGTGGGTGCAGGGGCCCAAGCACTTGGGCCATCTTCCACTGCTTTCCCAGGCCATAGCAGAGAGCTGGATTGGAAGTGGAGCAGTCAGGACTCGAACCGGCACCCCTATGGGATGCTGACGCTTTAGGCCAGCGTGTTTACCCGCTGCGCCACAGCACCGGCCCCAAAAAATAAACTGTTAAAACCTGCAGGTAAGGAGGCTGGCATCATGGCATAGCAGATTAAGCCACCACCTGCCAGGCTGGGGTCCCATATGGTTGCTGATTGGAATCCCAGCTGCTCCACTTTCCAGTCCAGCTTCCTGCTAAAGTACCTGGGAAAGCAGTAGAAAGTGGCGTACCTCTTGGGCCCCTGCACTCACGTGGGAGACCTGAATGGAGCTCTTGGCTTCAGCCTGGCCTAGCCTTAGCTGTTGCAGCCATCTGGGGAGTGAACCAGCAGATGGAAGATCTCTCTGTATCTTTCTCTCTCTCTCCATAACTCTTTGAAATAAATAAATACATCATTAAAACAAACTAAACTTCACTTCTCTCTCTCCCCGTAGGAAAATAAACCTCTGCTACAACCCACAGTAAGCAGTAATTGAGAACCACCAAGTAGGAATGGTGTTGAGACTTACATAAGGACTTGGGGAGGTGACAGTGTTTGCAAAGAAGGAAAAATTACCTGCGTAGCCCTTCACAAAGTCAAAAATACCTATCTTTCCTTCACTCTCATCTAACTAACCTGATTCTAATGATACATCACTCCAGGGCATCTCACTCTCCGATAGTGCCCACCTCATCTGAATATTACTGTATTTAAAGACACTGAAATGAACGAGGCATTCATAATTACTCCACTGACTTCCTGGTTCTTTGGCAGCTGCCTCTTTAAGCAATCTTTCAAGCTCAACACAGTGCAGAAAAGGGGTTAAATGTCACCAGAACCGACACGCCATAAGCCACCAAGTACTGAGGGAAGATAATGACAAATGTCTAATGAATCCCAGGATTATTCTAACACTCCTGGTCATGAGCAATTTCTATCTAGGCTTTTAAAAAACACTCACTTTGTAAGATACTAGGTTCCATTTCAGCTAAATAATAGGCCGAATGCTTGCTTATTAAAAGAAGAATAGAGAGAGCTGGGAAAAGGAAGAATATAGAGAAAAATAATCTAACACAGCATTCAGGGTAAAGCGGTAAAGTAGAAATAGAAGGGAGCACACAAACAGGCTGAGAACAACGGGACTCAGACAAAACAGAAAGGAGGAAGCAGAAAAATCACCATAACTGCACCTGTAACAAACCCACCGTAAGTTATTCTCCTGCTCAAACAAAACACTCATTTCTTTCCAAGCTGAAGTCACTGTAATGTGCCCGGACTGTTAATTTCTAAAGGCTTCCGTGTGGCACTTGAACGGCGTCCTGTCGATATGAAATTTTCCTAATTATTCCGTTGGGACCTTCCCATGTGTCTCTGTGCTTCCATGGAACTCGGGTGACTTGCAATAACATTTATTAAGAAAGAATTCTAAATTATTCTCCCCTTGCAATATTAATCTGTATGAACTAAAAAGACTGACTGCAATGCGAACCTCAATACTATTAAAATATCAGCAATAACCCCTAAATCTGTAAGCTAAAAGTTCAGCCAATGACCTTTAAAAGAAAGATAAATAGATATCAATTTTCATTTAGCAAAGCCAACAAAACATTTTGCCCTGACTGAAACAGATTACTGACCTTCTCCTCCAGCTTTATTAAAAAGCTAATTTCTACAAAAGAGCAGGGTATTTGAGAACGGCAATAAATATTAAGAAATCATAATTATGGAAGCAAGCACATCAGAGCTGCTCTGTTCCACCACGTTCTATGACATAGTTCTAACGCTGTGCCAAAGAACCACTTCTGGAAGGCTGCTCTCTTCAGTCTTGAGTTGGCTCCAACTCTTGTCTGAAGAACTGGTGTCTCTCAAAATGCATTAGTTCACTCTGAGCTGAATTGAAAGTTTAACAATGATCCATCACAGGGCTTAATGTACTTGACTAGAAAACGTAACTATTAGTAGCTGTTAAAAATGTTTCGTTTTAGCTATCCACTCAATTCTTACATAAATATCATTAGGATATCTGCAGTCAGCCCTAATCAAAGAAAGGGGCTGGTGCCTGTCACAGTGACTGAAGCACTGCTTGGGGACATGTTCACTCCGAAACACACAGGGCCTAGGTTTCAGTCTGGGCCCATGTCCAATCCAGCTCCCTGCCTACACTGCTAATGTACCTGGGAAGCCAGGAGAAGATGGCCCAAGTGCTCAGGCCCCTGCACCTACGAGGGGGACCTGGATAAAGCTCCTGGCTTCCACTTGGCCCAGCGCCGATCATTGCGGCCATTTGTGGAGTTACCCAGTGGATGGAAGATTTTCTCTCTGTAACTCTTTCAAATAAAAAATCCTTCAAAAAATGCAATCCCATCTTCTGAATAAAACCGTTAGCTCCCGTAATGGTTCTTTGACCGGGAAAATAAAAACCACATCACTGCTCAGGGACAGCGCCCCAGGCAAGCACGGTGTGGTTGTGGACAGCCAGCACCCAGCACGCCTGAACCAATGTGCCGTGGCCCGGCAGGGGGACGAGGGCGCCGGTCCACAGCTGCTCGCACCCCTACCAAGCGCACTACTCGCACCTGGGACTAGGGCGCATGCTCAGACCTACCCCTTCCCTATAAGGAGAGGTGACGTGGGCAACCGGGCATGCTCAGACCTACCCCCTCCCTGTAAGGAGAGGTGACGTGGGCAGCGGGCATGCTCAGACCTACCCCCTCCCTATGAGGAGAGGTGACGTGGGCACCGGGCATGCTCAGACCTACCCCTTCCCTGTAAGGAGAGGTGACGTGGGCAACCGGGCATGCTCAGACCTACCCCTTCCCTGTAAGGAGAGGTGACGTAGGCAACGCGCATGCTCAGACCTACCCCTTCCCTATGAGGAGAGGTGACGTAGGCACCGGGCATGCTCAGACCTACCCCTTCCCTATGAGGAGAGGTGACGTAGGCACCGGGCATGCTTGATTGGGGCCTACGGCCGCGTCTCGATGCACGTGTATCCCCTCACCACTGAATAAAATCCCATTCCTATCTTCACAAGGCACCAGCCTTCGCTGGGTGGAAACTAAAATGTCCACTGCCCACGTCAGGAACCGCGAATCCGCCCTCATGAGCGCAAACGTCCAGAAACCATCCTCATTTGTGAGGGAAAGTCGAACGTGTGGACACCCTCCCTCGTCTTTAAGCCTCAGCTTCTGACCGGATTCGCGTTCCCGCGTGTGTAGCAAACAGGGCCCACAGACCACAGAGTCCCGGACACGTCAGGGTCCGTCAGCGCGGCCACGCGGGGACCCCGAGTCTCCCCTGACGTCAGGGTCGGTCAGAGCGGCCGCCGGGGGACCCCGAGTCTCCACGCATCAGGGCCCCTCTGCATGGCCGCCGAGGCCCCGAGTCTCCCCATCAGGGCTCCTCTGCATGGCCGCCGAGGCCCCGAGTCTCCCCGTCAGGGCCCCTCTGCATGGCCGCCGAGGCCCGCGTCTCCCCGTAACCAGGGCCGTCAGCATGGCCGCCAAGGCCCGCGTCTCCGTCAGGCCCGCGTCTCCGTCAGGGCCCGCGTCCCCGTCAGGCCCGCGTCTCCCTCAGGGCCCGCGTCTCCTTCAGGGCCCGCGTCTCCGTCAGGGCCCCTCAGCATGGCCGCCGAGACCCTGAGTCCCCCACGTCATGGCCGCCCGAGGCCCGCGTCTCCCCGTCAGGCCCGCGTCCCCGTCAGGGCCCCGTCTCCGTCAGGCCCACGTCTCCCTCAGGGCCCCTCAGCATGGCCGCCCGAGACCCCGAGTCCCCCCGCGTCTCCGTCAGCACAGCCCGCGTCTCCGTCAGGCCCGCGTCTCCGTCAGGCCCGCGTCCCCGTCAGCACAGCCCGCGTCTCCCTCAGGGCCCTAGTCCCCGTCAGGCCCGCGTCTCCGTCAGGGCCTCTCAGCATGGCCGCCGAGACCCCGAGTCCCCCCCCCCCCCGTCAGACCCGCGTCCCTGTCAGACCCGCGTCTCCGTCAGGGCCCCTCAGCATGGCCGCCGAGACCCCGAGTCCCCCCGCGTCTCCGTCAGCACAGCCCGCGTCCCCGTCAGGCCCGCGTCTCCCTCAGGGCCCGCGTCCCCGTCAGGGCCCGCGCCGCACCTTTCTTGAGCTGGATGTGCAGGCGCCGGCCGACCTTCTTGGCGCTGTAGGCGTGCGGCGCGCTGGGCGGCAGTCGCGGGTGGGCGTCGGCGGGCTCGGAGGGCCGGGGCGCGCGGGCAGGGCCGGGGAGCCCCAGGCCGCCGCCCCCCGCCCTGCCGTCGGCCGCGCCCGGGCTGTCGGGGCTGAGGCGGCTGGCGCAGGCCTGGCGGCTCTCGCTCTGCGACAGCAGCTCGTACTGCTCCTTCTTGGCGGCGGGCACCACGTGGAACCAGATGACGGGCGTGCGCATGGCGTGGCGGAACATGTGCTGCGCCCTGCGGGGGAAGGGACAGGTGAGCCTCCCCGCAAATGTATGTGTCTATCCCAGAGGCAGACTCAGAGACGAGGCGGAGACATCTTCCATGCCCTGGCTCACTCCCCAGATGGCCACATCAGCCGGGGCCGGGCCAGGCCAGAGCTCCATGGGGCCCCTGCTAGTGCACCTCGGAGAGCAGCAGCACATGGCCCAAGCGCTTGAGCCCCCGGACTCACGCGGGAGACCAGGATGGAGCTCCTGGCTTCGCACCAGCCTAGCCCCCGCCATTGCGGCCATTTACAGAGTGAATCTGCAGATGGAACATAGGTTTCTCTCTCTCCTCTCTGTGACTCTGCCTTTCAGATATTTTTAAAAGAAAAACAATCATTAATTTTCCAAGAAACATCGTCAGGAAATCAATTCAGCTCTGCGTATGCAAGCATCAGGAGCCTCATCCAGCCTCAGTGCCTGGAAATGGTAGCAGCAGTGGCTCAGCGCTACCCAGACCGGAAGCTGCCTCCCCACCCTGGCTCCGTCCCTTTGCACCCCACATCCAGCAGAACTCTGCTGACTCCTGCCGTGCTCTGTAGGCCAACTGTTATTTCATTAATGGAAGAACACCTTGAAAGTCTGATTATGACAAATGCCATGGTCCAAAGGCGTTTTTCCCACAAAATTTAAAGGCTGAATTTGGCCTGCAATACTGGAAGTTTGATCAGAGTGTGACCACAGTGCTGAGACTGAACTCCTCCAGTGTAAAAGCAGGGCCCAGCCTCGTCAGTCTCCCTTAGCCTCAGGTGTCCCTGCCTGTCCTTTATCAAAAGGAATTTACTAAATTGAGGGGGGGGGAGGTGTACAGCTGGTCTGTCCAGGTTCTAGTCACTGGACTCCAGGAGTCATTTGCTTCTCAAATAGGTAACCCTGATGGTCAGTGTTGTCCAGAGGGTTTGTATAGGGGAATTCCAGGTTTGGGGCAGAAGGCAACTTACATGTCACCCCCCCTCAGACCAACTGGAGCCCAACTGGAGCCCAGCTGGCCATCATTAGTTCCCTGAAGAACACGGCACTGCTGACCAAAGAAGGTCACGACCACCACTGACCAACCAGAAACTTGACATGAGGCAATCACACACCTCTCAGCCTGTTTCACCTGTAAAAGCCTTCACCCCCAGCTCCTTGGGGAGCCCAGGAATTAAGCCATAGCTGCCGGGCTCCTTGCTTTGCGCTTTGCGATAAACACCTGCTTTCTCCCAGCACCGTGAGGTCGGTGATTGGCTTCATCTATCTATGTTGGGTGAGAGACAAAGCAATGTTTCGGACTGTTGGCAACAATGGCAGTAATGACCCTGAGCTGACTTTAACTCTGAAAAGCCAGCTCATTGTCAGATGTGCTCCTTCTCTGTAGACGACTTTGAAAAGCCAGCTCATTGTCAGATGTGCTCCTCCTCTGTAGACGACAGAGACCGTGGCGAGACGCCAGAGCCTGCGCCTTCTCCCGCGCCCGCACTTACTGCTCAAATCTTCTGTTGCGAAGGTCGCCATCGTTGATCCTGACGATGCAGTCGTTCTCGTGGAAGAGGCCCTCGTGCTCAGCCTTCCCACCTTTCTCCAGCCGCTTCACCAGCAAGCCTAGCGTTCTGGAACACGAAGAATGCAGAGGGTCACACACCAGCAAGCCTAGCGTTCCGGGACACAAGAACGCACATCACACACCAAGCAGAGGCAGCCTACTGCTGACGCAGGAATTCTGTTTATAAAAACCTCCAAACTCAAGGGCATGGGAAATAACTACTCACAGATGTTACCCTAACACCAAGTCGCAAATCACAACACTCTAAAAATGTGCAGAAACGGATTCTTCCAATAAATACAAGAAGCCGTTTGCTGGATCATCAGTGTTACATCTGTGAACCAATCTGTATGCTTGAAAATGAGACTGACAGAGCCCAGGTTAATGGTTCGAGAGGTGTCCCAGCGGAGAGCATGGGCGCCTGTGTGTTTGTGAAGGGCTCTTACAGTTTCCTGTTGGACGCAACCTTTATGCAAAAGTAAATAAAAAGCTAATCTCACCGCACTGAAGGCTTGCTTGGCCTTAGCCTCCGAATTTGATAGTGCCTGATAGTCTGAATTTTTAAACTTGGGAGGTCCCTCAGAGGTAAGTTAGAGTTGTCAGGATTGACATTTGAAGAAAAATAGAATGTCAGTGAGAAGTACGAAGATACCTAGTCACCATTCTCCTGTTCCGTGTCTCTATTCAAACTTGACGTTGACAGAAGAGCTGGACTGAACGTTTAGGGACCCAAATGGAGGAAATAAATTGCCAGTGTACTTGCACTAGACCCCACACTGACTAATAGAGTATTCTACATATGCTGGAAAAACAGTGCTTTTTGGGAATCACAGTGTAAGCAAAAAAAAATCTTTACTTAGTTCTGCCTGCTATTATTTCTTTGGTGGGTGTCACCAATTCTATATAATGATCAATTCTGTATCATGATCACCTGCTTCCTAGGTTTGCATTTTCTCTTGTAGCCCTAATACCAAACACTCTTCACCCCAAAAAAAGTCTAGATCCTAGAATTTAGAATGTCACAAAAATTAAAACTGATGTGTGCAATGGGAATATCCAGTCACCCATGCGTATTTTCCAGGAGAATCATGACTTGCAGCATCTTGCACATGCTTTCCAGTAGAAATTCGCCCAAATGAATAGCTTCCTCCTCTCAACTTCCGCAGGAACTGTTCCATCTACTCAGAGCCATTTATCTCACTCTCCCGCTGTATCCACTCCTTATCTGCACTATTGCTCTGTAAGCCCCTAGCAGATAGAGAGGATGGGATTCAGCAACTCATGCTCCAGCACTTAGCCATTTTGATAAATGACAACTGAATTTATGGGTGATTGAGTTTAGCTGAGGCAAACAAGCCTCAGCTTTTTGCAAAATAGAATACAAGTGAATAGAATTGAGATCAGTCTCCTCCAGGAAGGTATCATTTATACTAAAGATCCAATTGAGCTAAAAAGCAAGAAAGCAGAAGCCTTGCTTCCCTTGTTGTTTTGCAGTTCAGCCTGTTTCTTTATGAATATTTATAAAGTAAGTGACTAACTCCTCCTGGGGTGTCACTAAATACAGTAAAAAGGTATGATGCTGGGGTTAAGACTATCAAGGTGCAAGAACAAAAATAGGAGACAACATTTAAATTATCTTTTATAATTTTATCAGCTCACCTTTAGCTCCTACTACTACAAGGCTGTAAAAATACTAGTGACTGATAAAACAACATTATGTAGATAATCTTTGATTGCTTACTCTCACACGTATGGGAGCTACATAAATACACAAAGTTGTCTGAACATTGGACTATATTTAATGGGCATTACTTAGCAGCTAACTAGCACTACTAATTAGTTTAACTTCATAAATTTATTCCCAATAGATCCTTTCAGTATTTATTACAGTTTAAAGCAGTATAATTTAGAAATCTATACTTCAATTCTATAAGTGACATCAGTGCTTTTATCAGATGAATAGGTCAATGGATTTATATTCATCTAGATAATCTCTTTTCTTCATTAAACCTTTTTTTAAATCCTGGTAATCAGGCTAGAATAATCATCCAAAGCAAAACAGCATGCCACGTCTCATTTATCAAATGATTAGGTTTCTGCCTAAATCCTCATTCGTGGACAAAGAAAACAGCAACCCTAATGAAGAGTAAAAATTTTACGGCCCACAAATAAATACACTATCACATTTTCAGGAAACAAAATGAAGTCTCTGAACCAAGGCATTCATAATCAACACTACTGACGTAGTCACAAAAACCTCAGAATCCTTTCTTTTGGGGTCAGACACGCAGGATTCCACTGTGGGTGGGCGGGGGGCTTTACCTTGACTGACAGGGCAAGTGATCAGGGAATCAAAGAACAGCCTGAATTAAGGTGAAGTCAGAAGCCTGCTGATTTCTAAGTACTTGACCACACTATTAGAATCATTCTCTCAAAAAGAATAGATTCATTTAAAAGCAAAGTGGTACAATCTGCAGAATTATCTCATTTGCTCCACTAGGTGAAAATGATTACAAAAGGAATAGGAATGAGCCATCAAAAAAAGTTCTCAAGAAAATTGAACTGATAGCAGCTAGGCTGCAAGTGAAAAACATCTCTGGAGAGAAATCAAGGGGAAACAGAAATGACAGCCGCTTCTGCCTCCTCAACAGCCGAGGCAAAGCCATCTCAAAGAGCATAATTAAAAACAGCGTCAGGGGACATCGCACAGGCTCAAGCAGCAAACAGGATTTGTTCTAGGGGAACAAAGAAGGGACACCTATGGCTGTCACTGGGAAGGTGACTGAAGCTAGCAAGTCCTGTGGCTTGTGGCTCCACATGTGCAGGTGCAGAGGGCGGACTTTCTTCCTAACAGTGAGTTCCAGCGTCCCCGTTGGAGCAACTGCACTCCATCAGGAGAGGAAAGCACTTTGCAAAAATAAATAAAAAAGGGGGGAGGGGAGAGGGCCAGGTGGTGCCAGGGTGAGCACAGCTAGGAAAAAACACTGCAGGAGCAGAGCCCCCTGGAGAGGCTGTGCTGACAGACATGGGATGGGAGGAAACACTTGGTGCTCTCGTGAATGGGGTGGAGCAGATGGAGAGGCACTGACTGTGGGGTCTGCGGGGAGGTTAAACGGAGCCCTTCCAACTTCCCTCATGAACCTGAAGTAAACCCTACTCGGCTCACCCACTTCACTAGCAAATGAGTTTTTTAAGGCTTCATAGGAAACATCCCAAACCTATTCCTCTTCCACTATTTCTGACACATGTTTCAAAATGGGGGACGGGGGCGGCAGTAAGAAAACACTATGTCCACTGCATACAAATTTCACTTCTGAATAATTCTCCCCAAAAACAGCCACCACCCCCCAGAAAACAGGCAATGACCACATGGATGTCCTTCAAGCTGTTCCTAGTGGTTCATGAACAATGTTTCTTAAAAAAAGGCAGGCAGGAAGAATACATTTCCAAAAAGTCTTTGCAATGCTGTATCTCTGTACATGACTTTGGATGCATAATTAGAAATGTAACTGCTTAGATTATATTAAGGATTGCACCACTACATTTTTATAAGGTTCATTAGCCTAATTATACACTTAATTAAAACAAACTCAGTCACACATGTTAACATTTTCAATTCTAAGTGTACACCACAACCAATGAGACAACTGAAAATAAGGAACAAATGTTTTATTGACATCTAAATTGGCTGAGTAAGTCTGAGTTCTGCTCTGAAATGTGAACTCCCAGCACCACCACCCAGCGGTATGGCAATGGTCACAATGCACCCTAACAGAACCTGTTGTAGCGTAAACTCCTGCAGCGAAGGCAGAGGAGCTACAAGTGGGCAGACCTCTCCACAAGAAACTCCCAGACCCCGTAGAGCTGTGCACGGGACATGAGCCCACCATCTCTGCAAAGGCAGCCAATGGAGAATGCTCACAAGAACTCCAAGTTAATGCTAAATGGATCCAAAAAGCCAAACACAAATGGAGAAGTTGTTCAGCTTCAGCCAAAAACGTCAGACACTATATTCCTTATTTATTTTATTTATTTATTTTTTTTATTTATTTTTGACAGGCAGAGTGGACAGTGAGAGAGAGAGACAGAGAGAGAAAGGTCTTCCTTTTGCCGTTGGTTCACCCTCCAATGGCCGCCGCTGCAACCGGCGCACCGCGCTGATCCGATGGCAGGAGCCAGGATCCAGGTGCTTTTCCTGGTCTCCCATGGGGTGCAGGGCCCAAGCACCTGGGCCATCCTCCACTGCACTCCCTGGCCATAGCAGAGAGCTGGCCTGGAAGAGGGGCAACCGGGACAGAATCCGGCGCCCCGACCGGGACTAGAACCCGGTGTGCCGGCGCCGCAAGGTGGAGGATTAGCCTATTGAGCCACAGCGCCGGCCCAGACACTATATTCCTTAAGAAACATAGTTTATCTGACTTCTAATACAAACGCCCTGACAATCGTCTGCTATTAGGAAAAGCCAGTATGCAGCTGATGTACAACTGAAAACTTCCAGACAAACGGTGTCTCACTCTCGAAGTGCTGTTACATGGGTTTTCCGAAAATAATTCAACACAATTGAGTATTCCAAGCTGAAGAGCACATTTGTTCTGTGCAGGTTCCATAACGTTCAAATTGACACTAATTCTTCCTTACCATGTGGACCAACGAACCAAACAAGTGCTGAGATTCACAAATGTCTGACCTAACAAGGGATCTTCTCTGGGATTCACAACATGATGTATAAGGGACTCACTACCCCAGAGTGGACAAGCAAAGATGGAGGGCGCCTGAGGGCTCTCGGTGGAAGGCACGTTCATGTTACACCGCCTTCCACCATGGATCATTCTTCCTAGCTCCAACCACCAAGTACCTTCTAAATGACTTGCATGTAGTTTCTCATTTAAACCACATGGAAGTCACGTCACGTAGCTCCTACTTCTCAGCTCGGGAGATGGAGGCTATGACGTCAACATGCCTAAGACACACTCAGTGGAAGACAGAGCCAGGTTCAACTCCAGGTACCTGGACAGCTCTGAACAGCTGCTCTGCCAGTAGCAAGATGACCTAACACACAGTCCAGGC